TAATGCATGTTGTTTCTGTTAATGACGGAAACAACTTATGAAGCAACAGTAGATTGTGAGCTAGAGCCGGCAAATGTCTAGGCGTGCCAAATTAAACACGTCTGAGTGTGATCAAGATGAAGAGGCAAGTCAGTTGCCAGGATAATCATGTCTTAAATCTCATTAAAAAAAAAGCCTTGCAAACTGGTACAGTCAACGAGTCAGTAGTGTATTTCAAAATGCTCCTTTTATGTTGAAATACATTCTACAGGTCTAGAAATTTAAATCTGTCCTTTCTAGATTTGTTTGATTTTCTTTTGCTCACCCTCCCTATCATTTGGGAGGTATAGTTTAATCCTTTCCAGCCTTTTCGATGTATAGCAATAGTAACAGTTACAAAGACACGATACAAAATACAGACAATATGTTTGCAAATCCAAACCTGGTATATATAAAATGTTTTCTTATAATACGGCATAATATACACGCGCCAAATATGCTGGTTGTTGTCAATAAATGACTTAAAAATATTGAAGTGATTAAAATAAATTACGCCCACGTGCTTCCCACGCTTTCTCCGTACACTACAAAGCATATGACAACACATCTATGTATCTACGTCGTAACTATATGGCAGGGGTTGAACAATTTACAGTAGAGTGTCCGAGAAAATATTATATCGCTGTTATGATGTTAGTTCTTTATTTATGACAAAATGAAACTTTATCATACATTCACTAACAATCAAACGGAATGCCGGTAGATTTTCGGTCAACTTGTTCCTCCCTCTCCATCTTTTTTCTCCCAACTCCCATCCCGATTTTGCCCCCTCGTTGTCTTGATCAATAACGTCCTATCTTCGGGCATAGTGCACGTGTTCACAGCAGCTCTAAGATTTCAGGTGTCTATACTTTTGTGTCAAGGTCATTATTTTATGCGAACTTGCAGATTGTATGGATTCACATATTTTCGTTGTCGTGACGTCACTATCACCTCAAATTGGTGTCTTGTCTTGCGTCCATTGTGACCTTCTGTGGGAAAGACTATAAAACAAAACAGCGTGAACAGTCGTGGAAATGTTAATGCACAGCCTGTACGTTTTCTATCAAGAAATGTTTTACTTATATTTCTGTCTATATCATGTGATTGTTAATGATTCGTTTAATAGTGTATTGGTAAAATCCACAAATTTAAAAACAAACAGTACGTGTTATTTACATTTCATTTTGTAACATCAAACTGATTACGATGACCTAGCCCTGCGTACATGGCTGTGTAGGGGTGATATTTACATTGGGCTTCTTATAAGGTCCCGATGAATAGGAGCGCCTCCATATTCACAGACCTGTACACAGAGCTAACGATGACCCCAAGTCTTATTTTCTTTATCTCTGTAACATCAAATGACAAAAATGTAATAATAATAATAATATATGATAATGTTTGTTCCACACTATGTAAAATTAACGGAAATGCCATTTTTACTTTTGAGAGGCGCGTTCACCCATTTGGTAAAACCAGCATAGACATATTTTATATCTATGTCAGTCACTGTATATAAAGTTGCACCCATCCTCAGTTATGAGATATGGCGAATACTAGTACATGTAAGTCAAAAAATTAAGACAACTTACAGCAGCGGGTACGGTTCCATTTACTGTGAACACAAGACAGAATGAAACGGCAATATTACAGTATTAGACACTTGTTAACAAAATAGCTACATTACTCAAAGTGTTGTCACAGGAAGCAATGGCTACATTGTGAGCAATATGGCTATATCATTCACAAAATTAATATTTTATTGCGGTCACAATAAAATGGAGTGTACGCCATTTCATACGCCATCAACGGCAAACTCAGTCGGTGCTTATACCGGTAAAGCGATATAATATGTTCATGCCGTTGTTATAATGCAAAAAAAAAAATCGAAAAATCATGAAAAAGTAACAAATGACGAAAATGGGTACAAGCTGTAGACCAACGGCTACGTCAAATCAAGGACATATATTGTACATCTTCTACTAGTACACTATTACGTTCAACTTGAATGATACAGAAAAAAAGTTTCATTTGAAAAAAATGCAGCTTTTATTAGATAGTATATAATTTACCCTCGAATACGAAATGTTGTAATGACGAGGGTGTTTGCTTGATTTCAGAACTTCTTAATTAAAAGAAAACATTTTCACGTGATAAAGCGTTTTAAACTTTTGGTCAAAGCTGACTTCACGATCAAATTGAGATCAATTACATGTATGTGTATTTTACGTTCCTTTTTTTTCTTCAAAACTTTTGAATGTCATAATTGTTCCCGCCATAATTTAGGTGCAACGTTTCACACATTTTGATGTATAGTCATATATTTTATTCCATACCTTTAGACAACAGAACATAATTTCCAATTGACTACAGAGATTGGTCTACGTAAAACAGTAAAAAAAGTATAGAAACGATTATGCGGATTTGTTTTGTAAAAGATATCAAAAGTTGACTATTGCGCTCAAATGTTTTAACAGAACCCCCTAGCTTTTTCTTTAAGAGTGATAAGTCATAGCAAAAAATTGTGGTAAGTATATCAAGTCATGCCAAGTGTCAGGTGTCAGTTGGGTAACCAGCACCATCGCCAGACATGTTGGCGTGAATAGCGCCCTCGTCGGCTGGAATCAGATCTCACTACGTTGGGTTTGGAATGCCGCGGAGGGCGCAACCTTGTCAGGTTACCAACACCACAATACGACGCATTGTGTGTTGCATTGAACAATAGCGTATCTCAACGTCAGTGGACGCTGTACTATTAGCGTTCACATTAATTCGAGCTAAACGCTTCAGCACAAACATAATTAAAGCGGGGGGGGGGGGAGTCGTCACCTGCTGATTATATCTAAATTGAAACAACTGTACATAGCACAGGCATCCAGTAGAAACTAGGCCATGCATTGTTTTGAAGTTCAGCTGCATTTGGCCAAATAGTATTAGTAATAGTCGTCGCGCAGCGCGTGTTCGAATTTCATGTAAATAAACAATGTATTTTACACGCGTTGTATACGTCGCTATGAGTCCCATATCGAACAGGACGCGGCGCTACAACTGCCGCCCTTTAAATATGTGAATATGATCATTAATATAGTTAAAATGCTTTTTTATGAAATTTGATGTGTGTGATCAAATAGACCAGGAGATACTGAAAACAAGGTTTTGTGAACATTCGTTCAGTTTTCTTAGGTAATTTTCTTTGTATAAGTAATAACACTCAAATGTATGCATTCCATGATTGTACACAACACTTACATATATATAATACATTATTATTATGTTTTAATTATAACAATGTTTTGCATTTGTTCACAGTGATGGAGTTATGTGAAAATTTTATATTCCAACAACACATATTATATTACAATGTGCCATCTCCAATGAAGTTCTCCAACTTTAATTTTCACTTTCAAATCAGCTGCATCACCGATTTGCTTAGAAACTTCCAGAGTGCAACATTAAACCACAATGCAAATTTCAACATTTTAATATACGTAATGCCACAAGCACACGACCACCACACTAATTTGAGAATTGCACAGAAAAGTGTAAAGAATAATGAAAAATGTTTACATCAAGAACAATGCATTTGCAGTTTCAATGTGCTCCAATGTGCCAAAAATGTTGAACAATGTCACGAAA